GGAGCTGCTTGACGATTTCATTCTTTAAATTCTGTAATAATTTATCAGAAGTTGCATATTGCAAGCAGGAACTTTATCTTTCTATGAACTGTCGATTGATACTCTAAAGACTTATCTATTACTTGATCGAGAAGCATATGTTGTCCTTCCATCTTGATTATTGTCTTAAGCTATGTTTGCCGTTCCGAAAAACTACAAACTAGTGGCAGCTCCGCTATTCGAGTTGTATGACAATGCTGCCGCTTATGGCCCGCTTATTGCTAGTCTTCCAATGGCTCTTAGCAGGTACTATTCTGACTCATTGCTTCTTATGTTTTTGTTTTGAAGACTAAAGCCTTTACATGTGACCCATTTTTACGCAAATCTTTATTTCAGGTTCAACTTTATCTACAACGGCGTTGTGTAAATTTCCGGTACTTATTGTTTTTTTGTTGGATACTCAAAGTACTTTGTCATTTCTTCTCTGTTGAATAAAATTGTACTGTGACTACACTGCCTGCTATCTCGTTTATGTTCCATTGTTGTGTCCACTTTGATCTCTTTGTAGCCTTATATCTCAAACGCTGTGGTTATGGGTTATACTGTTTTTTGTCTCAAGTAGGGTTCAAAGCGCAGCTCGATAATTACAAATTGTAATGATCTGTTAGCGTCAATGAAGAAGCTTTGGCTTAATGGCTTTTCACATATTATAATTATGTCAATGCTAAAACATGGGTCGGAAGTCTCTTTGATTGAAACGTTGCTATCTTGGACTGTAATTTTTCTTTCTAAACTGTTGAATGAGGATCATCACACTTCAGCGCAAAGTCTCTTTTCTTCTAAATTATGATAACTGTTTTTGATTCTTCAAATCACTGCAGGTATCACATGTCATTTCTTCACATATCAACTTTCTCAGCAGTTACTTTTGAGTAACATTTGGTAGGTTTTTGTAAGACTTTCACAAGCCTTTAAATGGACTTTCTTATTGGTAACAACTTTTCATAAGCTAAAGTGAACTTGATTACTGAATGTCTTCACAAAAGTCTTCTTTGTGGACCTGAGAGATCTCAAGGAAACGTCCATCGATCAGTCGCAAAGTATGTCTTAAAGATCGTCGCTTAAGTGCAACTTTTTGTTGTCTACGGGGGTGAAGTGACAGCACCACTCAACTGGTTGAACGCGCAGGTGACACTTATCAGACGGTACAGACACTTGGTCACGTTTCGTCTCTTATCAATGATTTGGTGATCAAAGGTTGAAGGGAAGCTTTGTAGGAATGAGTGAAATATCGACATTGGTTATGGTTATGTATCCTCCTCAAGTTGAAACAGATAATACCTATGATTATGCTCTCTAGAAGATAATTTTAGAATGTGGTACATTATTAATCGTGAAATATTCTTTTATCTATTCAAATGCAGGAGAAGGAATTGAAGAAAGGGCATGCGTGCGTGATATCTGAAAAATTCATGGTTTTGATAAAATTCT